TAATTACACGATAAATTGGTAAGCAAATATGATGAGTTATACAAAAGCAAGTAATATGACCAACTAACAAATTCTTTGCTATTGCCTTCTATAATTTGACTGTCGATTCGTTGATAGGTCGTTGAGTTAGGAATACGTTACGGGAAATGTATTTAGTGGTGGTAGCGGATCTGGGAAGATGTCGTTGTAATTCAGTCATGGAGAATAAGCATAGAGGATGTATCGTCTACTTGACTGTAAAAACATTAACTCCTTTTGGATTTTTCCATATATATATATATATGATTGGGGAGATTTTGTGAGCTCCATCGGAGTTATCATGGAGATATGGCTAACTTTTGGCATTGTCCATTGTGTAGGTACAATATCTTTACATTATGCAGTCTTTGTGTTAGCTTATATCGTCTCCATCGCTTTAATTTTACTTGCAAGATTTAGCAACCCTGTATGTTGGATATTGTGGCAATTTTATTTAAATATATCTTTAATTTCGGTAATCTGACACAGACTGAGCCATCCCAGTGAATCGAGATTCTTGGAAATTTGAATTACATTCGGCTCTACGATTCTCAAATTCAAAAATGTCATCTGAATGGATCGATAAAAAGAATTTCTCAAACTTCTGATAACAAGTTTTATACATGATATGGATGCGATAAATTAAAAATACATTAATAAGGAGGCGAAACAGATGGATATAGCAACAAAACAAAAGTAAACAAGCTTCAGTCAGAAAAAATCTCCATTTATTTTCATTAAATCATTTACATTTCATTTCAATATCTCTTCAACAGTTATAGAGTTGCTGTAGAATGTTACATTTTTCTGTACCATTCATAGCTTTACAACCATACAACTCACACTTATCTTCATATGATTTTATAAGGCCCTCTTTAGTCTGTAAAATAAATAAAACATCAATATTAATCTTAAATGGAATACTCCAATCTTTGTGGCATGGATTCTTCGCTCTTTGAAAACCCAACTTTCTGGATGACCAATGTAAGTTGAAAATTAGAGTCGATCAATCAATCAATCAAGCAATTAATCAGTCAGTACAGTTTTTTCTAGCAGTATCATTAAAATACAAGGATATGATAACTTCTATTAGGAAGGCATCTGGAACTAGTATGGATTTCATCTTGTTGAAGAAAACGGTTCATAAATCAGTGATCATTCGGCTATTTGTTGATGCCATAACGGTTTCTGTTGTCGATACTTCAGAAGGTTTTACCCTTAAGAAAAAATTTGAGAAAATATTTCAAGCAAGTAACTAAGGAAAGCAACTAAAAGCTGAGACTTCAAAGTATAAACTGAATTATGGGAAGAAAAATTATTGCCAAAAAAATGACCTCACATTTGGCCTGAAGGTTGTATATAAGGATGTGAACGACGTATACTGCTAGCCATTACCGGTATTCGACTCTGAGATATCTTCTGCAAAATAGCACTAAATATTACAAAGGAAAAATATCTGAAGCAAAACCTGAATTTGATATGAATCGACAGTCGGCTTCATAAACAATAAAGTATGTTCTGCTGAAAATAGAAGACCAGAGAAGGGTGGCATTTTTGACTATCCTATTCATAATTCCGGTCCTCGAATAGTACACTAATAAAAAAGATTTCTAATTCAAACAGTTTTAATAGTGAAAAATCGAAATCTCTGTAAGAATTGCAGATGAGATGTGATATGGGACCAGCAGAAACGTTGTGTAAATGTCAATCGTTTCAATAATGTCCAAAACAAATCGAATAATTGTAAGTTTCATTGTGAATGCTTTCCGCTGCCATTATAATAGGCCAAAATAACTGCTCAATACTTCGTTTTCCCTCAAGCCTTGTCATGTGCTGAAGAACCTTACAGCATGTTAAGAGATGGAGGAACTGAACCAACGGAGTAAATTTTTTTTTCTCTCTTCTTTTGCAATTATCCTCAAGAACTGGAAGGGAAATGAATGAAAAATATCAATAAGAAAATTTAAAATTTACAGGAGAGGAAGTAAGTTTCATTCTTTTTACAAAAATGCAGAACACATTGGCAATAAAATTAACCAGTGTGACATTATTTTAATGATAACGGTAAAGAAATATGGAACACAGTAATCCAGGAGAAATGACAGTACCCAAGTACCAATATGACAAGGAATGAATCATGTGAAAAGGTACCTTACGTGAGTTAAGTATTGAAAAAGCATCATCAAGATTCTTAATGGTCTACAAGGAAAGGAGAGTGAAACTTGAAGTGATCAAGATACTACTCTCCGGACCGCATATTGAATGGGAATGGGGGAAGCAAACAAAATACAGGAGGTAAACTATATTTTCAGGAAAACTTCCACAATTACAGAGAAACGAAAATAGCAATGATTCATGGGATGGTAATAGAGATAGCCTCAAGGACGATAAAGGTAACTTTTCGGAACTTCTCTCCGAAGAAAACTTTCGCCCGAGGAAAAAGCTTCTTCCGAAGAGTTTTTCTATGAACCAGTCTACCAAAGCTTGGATGCAATAGCATTGGAATATAACATTTGTATCACATCCCACAACTACTTCACACATGATATTTAATATAACGTAAATCTTATGAAATTGAGCTGAATGGAATAACTCAGAAAAAAAAAGTCAACTCAGATATCTGAAGGAGCACAGCAACATAAAGCTTAAAAGATTGCAATAAACCAGGTATACCTCATCGCAAGAAGAAATTCTAGATCTATGCGTTTCAGAAGCTGCCATTGAGCTGCCACCAGCATGACCACTTCTCACCGGTAGTCGAGACCGATGTGTTTTGTCACCAACTTCTCCAATAGGTTCAGTGTTCCCTGTCGAGGTTTGCATTGTTGATGCAAAAGGAACGTATGGTTTTTTCACTGCGATTGTGTTAGGGCATTTTACTGTGCGCAAATGCGGTATACGTGACTGTGACTCCGATAGGCGGTTAGCAGAAACTGTATCACTTTTGTCAAATCTGATATCGTACTCAGTTTGCCCAAACAGTTTGCGATCATTTATCGTAAAAGTGCTAGTCCTAACTACGCCAGAGGATGAAGATGCGGAAGACATGGTAGGAGCAGGAATAGTCGAAACCTTGTCTTGACCATTTGTTACGGATGAGTGTTGAATTGAAGAACGACCGCTGGTTATAGCAGGATGAGCATGTCCATTGATTGCGGTAGAATTTTGGAAATCTTCCTCCTCCGGTAAAACCATGAAAGTTTGGTTCAAAGGTATCTTGGTCAGAGAAGAAACCGGTGAACGGACAAGCGACCCGGCACATATTTTGTTGGGTGAAGTTCTACAAGTTGGTACTGGAGTAGTAGGACTGGATACTGACGATCCGGAAAGTTTCATTCCAGGAATATTTGCAGAGAAATTCCTTGGGATGAGCGACTGTCGAATATTTGGTGAAGCAGTAGAAACAGGCGGAAAATGTTCTAGTAGTGGCGTGCCATTATTATTGATTACAAGCTGAAATTTTCATTCCCAAAAAAAAAATTTTTTTTGGGTTGACCAAGATTAGCAAGGAATTTTCCTTTTCAAATCTTAAATTTCATGTTCGAGAACATACTAACAACAGATTACTGCAATATTTTGGTGCAGATACTTAAAGAATTTTTAGAGAATGGTGTACTAAACCTGAAAAATTTGAGGTTTAAAAAAGATCCCAGTTAGACTAAAACAGAAGCACCATACGAATTTCAAATGTCATCAGGATGCACAGATATCCTTGTCATTATCGATAAAATATTTGCTTATCAGCTAAGTTATTTTCTTCCTTAGGCAAAAAACATTCAGTTTTTAATTGTTATTTCAACATTTTGCCAAGGATATGCTATGTAAATTTTAACTTCTGAACAATATATGAAGTTTGATTTTAACTTTCGAATAGTATAAAATAGTGGAACGTGAAGTCCCGTGCAAATTCCATGGAAAAAAGAAAGCAATTGAAGTTAAAATAACTTTTAGAAAATATTAACGGTTAATTGGGAAAAGCGAAGTCTTTCAAAACATTCAAAGGTTTTTTATTCATCTGAAGATATTAACAAATTCTTTTCTTTTTGTCATCGAAGACGATAATAACTTTGATATTTAAAGTAAATTTCTGGGACATGAAATAAATAAAACGTACGCAGTGTGTGATTGACGTGTCCTGCAATGAGATATGTGGTGACGCAGGACAATTTGTTTGACAGTCGTTGTTACTGATAGCGATTCTTGTAACATGACTAGTCGGAGGTCGGATTGCGGTTGTTATTGATGTCAAAGATTCCGACCATCGAAGTGCAGGTTCTGAAATGACTAACGAATCGTTTCTTTATTTTTGTTGAAGCAGATTACTCTGAAATTAGATCGAGATATCAAGGGGATCACCTTTCTGTACAGTGTAAGGAGTAACGGTAACAGCTGGCAGTGTAAATATAAGGTGTAAGACAGTAAATTTAAGATATAAATGTAAATGTAAGACGGTAAAAAAAATTGAATTCATGTCGTTCCTGTTTACTAACCCCAAAAAAATATTGAAGGAAAAGAAAATTTTTTTCCTGATCCGAAAAACTTTTTGACGTGGAAGACTAAGTGGGTAATATTGAATTTGAATATAAGTTTATCAGAATTTAACACAAATCCCATCACGTTAAATTATGACTAAGAAGAGCTTACCATGAGCCATGTTCAAGGTAGTATTAACAACTTCCGATTTCTTTATACCATCCATGAATTGTAATGGAGTGGATCTGGAATGTGTAGGATCTGAAATTAAAAAAGAGAAACGGTTTGAAAAATCATCATATTTACTACAATTAATGACCTATTTGTGCAAGAATTACCAGTGTTTTTGAATCATAAAGAAATGCGATAGAGGACATGTATTCTGTCATTACTTTTTTGAGCATAATTTACCTTTTCTTGAACTGTACTGCTTTTTTGAAACAGATGGTGACTTATCGAGCTCCCTGATATCGTTAATTTGTTCATCACATGTTACGTTCTGCATTGTGAATACCGAAGATTGCGCAAAATGCAATATATCAGATAAAATATGGATTCAATCTTTACTCCGTTTTGTCAAACAAACCTTCATTTACCGAAAGGTTTTCTGGCAAACAAACAAGATGGTTTCTTGTTTTTGTCCGAGAGATTAAATTTTGTAATACTTAGATTGCAGAATTTTTGTACGAAAACCGATTTTTCGCTGAGAAAAGCAAACCTTGTCAAATGAAGTTTCGATTCCGGACGAATTTGCATAACCGTTAATCGCGGTTCTATAGTCACTACTTGCTATACCATTACTGTCCAATGTACGCTTATCACTGCTACAATCCGAAAATGCATTGGTGGCTTAATGGACTATGAAAGTCCGATGCAAATAAGTTAAATATAAAATCGATAAGGAAGACGAAGTTTCGAGTACTGCCAAATTCCTAATGAATCCTGAGAAAAACTGACTTTGCAGCAGGACACGATCCTTCAGGAGGAGGAATAAGATCAGCTACTGGTAACCCTGCAGAGGCACCAACCTAAATAAAGTTTTCAAATGCAAAGACAAAGTGCATTAGTGATTCAGATTAAAAATGTTTTGATCTTAGTGCTTTGTAAAATTGTCCAAGGAAGTTCAAGTAATGTTTTTGGTGCGTGGAAATGAGAATGAACCAAGTAGGGATTTTTAGAGCCGCTGATTATACATCTTTGTAATTACTACTAACCTGTTTTTTGAAATCATTTCGCAGTTGTATTCTTTTGTTTACCAGGCTCTGCCTTGGACCGTATCGTTGCGACGGCCGTCTCTCAAATGTGGCTGATTGCCGACGAGAAAGCCGCCCACCATCTTTGTGTACATTTTCATACTCCGTTCGCCCTCTTTTTAAAATTTTATTTTATGAAAATTCTAATGGAAGATATATTTTGATCACGACGCAGTCAAAAATTAGAAAGATCGAATCGTGACACTGAATTATTGGATTTCATTGCCGTCACTCGGTGCAATTGCACTTGCCCACCCTGTGAAGGTTATATTCAGTTACGATAATACAAGTGAAATGACGAGGTGAAAAAGCGTTACCTATACCGGAATGTGCTACCCAATCGAAATAGTTGTGATGCTTTAGCGACTCGCGGCTTATGATATTTGAGCCGAAAGAATGTGTGATGTTCGATGGCGCATTTCCATAAATGTTTGCAAGCTTTATGAGATGACAGATTGAATACAAATGTATGCAGTTGCACTTGTCCACCCTGTCATATCAATAATAAAAATAGACGGAAACTTTTGAAATATCGACTAAGCAAAAGGAATATGAACATGACCAAACTAAGTACAAGTCAAAGCTTGAACATGGCTTAACCCAATTAAGTTTAGGAAGGTCACTAAAGTAATGATTTCCTTCTACCTTCATTATCTCTCCTCTGTATAGTTTTTTTCTAACTCAGACACCAGAAAATGAGATTAAAAATTGAAAATGTGGTTAAAGATGAAATAAACATACAGCCTGATCAGCATCCTCTTCCACGACAAGAGTGATTTTCCGATTCTTAAAATCAAGTTTCTGGATCTTTTCCCACAAAAATAAACCAATCTTTTGAGCACCATCAAATACCAGCATACCAGTCGGTGTTAAACCCAAACTGTAATATCTTTTTTTGTCGCTCTTTTATTTAATCACTAATTTATTCGATCTTCTTACCCATTCGAAATATTAGCATGGACAGACTGCGTTACCGTAGATGAGACTTAAGTGTCTACAGGGAGATGTAATGAAATATTTTGCTAATAATAAAAGTGAAAAAAGAGATAAACCTGTATAAGTTGCCATCCTTTCCTTCAACAGTATGCATATCAACACCATACAGCTCTATCCATTTCGCTTTATTCAAATAATTTATTTCGGCTGTGGCTGGTGACTGCCCTCTAAAATACATTCGATGACAGAAATTCGTCACCACTTTTTATTGAAAATAAACAAGCTTCTCTGTCTTTGCAACAAATTATTATATCATTTTATGCTCATGAAAGTCTAAAGAATAATACCGGCAATTGATGAATTTTTCCAAAACCGCAATCTCCATTTCTTCATCCTGTTCGGGATGAAATCGAAATTCCGAAATTAGAGCCGGTGTGTGTTCCGCAGAGTTATAATCCCCGAGCTCCGCTGTAAAACGAAAGTATGCAACAAAAGTATGTAAAACGAAAATATTTTTGTGGATTTGTTTGCTTTAAATTGAATTGAAGACTAGTGTCCCATCAACCTTCTGACTGATAAGTTCCACAGTACTTCTTTATGCTTCATTATATATAAAGTGAGATCTTTTTGAGTAGATTTTATCCTTATTAGAAGGAAGATAATATTAGCTCCGAAATGTTTTAATTTGAAGAAAAACTGACAAAACATGCTTTCCTTACATTCTTAAAAGATGGAGTAATTTTGGTTATTTCAATCAAATTAATTTCGAAAATTCAGAAAAATTAATTATAAATGGATGAAATACATACACTGTAGAGCAAAGGCGGCAAGTTCAATAGCTGTGTCTTTGGGACATTCCAATTTTCCTGTCTGGATATCCTGTTTCAGCTGCAGGAAGAACTGATATCTTTAAAAGTAAAGATTTCAGAAATATTTGAGAATCAATACATGGTCCATTCCACTTTCTGATTAGTATATCATTCTAATTTCTCTATCTTTAATTAATGAAAAGCAAGCATATAACATTCATTTTTTCTAACAATATCAGATTTTCAATTTCTCAACTTAAAAAACTTAATTAAATGGAAACTTTGAAAGTCCTACCTCGTTAATTCTTCGCGCAAATTATTCGGTTCAGATGAATAGAATTTTACCCGAAATCGAAATGTGTAGGGCGGGCCGATTGGTACTTGCTTATTTATTCGCTTTATCGGATCCAACCAATGCTCAAATTAATATTTTTAAGGTAACGGAATGAAGATTCACCTCAAAAATAATAACTGAGGATTATAAGCTTCCTTGGTGACAACTTCATAGTTTTTTGCCACACCCAACCGGCAAAGATCCTTCCGGTTACTTGTCACCACGAAACAGCTACTTCCACTCTTTGAATTTCCTTGGTAGCAAACCGTAATAAAGTTCAGCATATAAGCCAAAACTCAAAGCTATCATCAGAGAAACGGAAGAAAAATCTAACCATAATGAAATTCCTCCCAAAGATAACAGATTGACCTGGACTAGACAGACTGAATTCAGTTGGACTAAATTTAAAGGATAGTTGCAAATACCTGCACATGATAGTGGTCCATGAACTGTAAACCAAAATAATCTCGCTCTTCTAAGTCTAGTGTATAAAAAACTTGATCGTATAATTCTCGACCGGCAGCATTTTTCTAAAAATAGGAAATTTGTTATTGAGTAATGAAGCTCAAATAAAAAGGAAAATGTTTCAACAATGTGATCAAAATAAAAGATGAGATCAACTTCAAGATGGCTAACTGCGCATCACTTTTCTTTCTTTTTTTTTGGTCAAAGAAACGAAAGAGCTTTAGAAATAAAATGAGCAAGAAAAATCCTGTTGAAAGCAAAGAATAATTTTTCTTTCTAAATTTCGATATCAAAAGATAAACAAGTCTTGCCATCATCTTTTAAGGGACTCAAAAACGTACCTGAATCACGACATTCATATCTGTACCATCGAGCAATAACACTTTACACTGACATTGCTTTCGAGAATCCATTTCTGGCTGATCAAATCCCTAAATTAATAAGAGAACTTGAGAATCATTCAAAAATCAGAAGTGATCCGTAAAGAAATGGAAATGATGAAAAGCAATGGTCATATTAGGTTTTCCTAAAATACACCGATAGAAGTTGCAATCGGAATAAACCAAAGATATCAGAAGTAAAGAAGCGCCATGTAATATTTGTGTCATCCGATGAAAAAAAAAAACGCAAACATTATTTTTATGGAAGATTCACCCAATTCGCCACTTCATTAATTGCTTTTTTCATACACAAAAAGAATGGGAATTGTGATTTATTTCTGATTTCTAAAAGCGCCTTCGCATAACCAACAACTTAGTAAGTGCGGCTTCTTTAGTATATTACTCCTTAATTGAGTTAATTAAAAATCTAAATATCCCTCAATCGGAGCTCCAAAATCTGTTTTATAAATCCCCTTTTTTTTCTCGTCTGCAAAATTTTTTCCATGGAAATTGAATCTACAGCAATTGATTCCAGGATTACCAGAAAGTTGTACATGTCAGATGCGATCACACACTGTGCACCGGATTCTAACTGTCAAACACTAAATGTAATTCAAATACTAATTAAATTAAACCATCAATCTATTTCACCAAAAATAAGGTAAGAAGTGAGAAGTATAAAACTACTATTAATCACTTACTACAAATGACAATGACATGGATAAGGAGCACAATACATAATTAGCCAAATAGCACAAGATCCATTCATTACTAGCACCATTTGCAAATTGATATCGGTGACATGGAGAAACATTGAAAGTATTACAATAATTTGTTGGGACAGACTGGTTAATGCACATAATACAACCAACAATGGTAGAATGGAATCAATACACACCGCACATGTAAATGTGTTACATGATGCTAGAGTCAGTCACAACATTTGCGCCCTTTAAAGGAATCAAGTTCTTCTTAATACTTAACAATATTTGCATACTTTAAAAGGACCAAACTTTATCTCGATGATAATATTCTCCGAAAAATTCTTCTTCATAATCACATCCCATTTTTATACCAAACCGTATATGGCAACATCCTGTTTCCGAAATATAACAATATTTCCGATTTTGCCAAAAATCACAATTGATAATCATTACGGATAGCAATAAATGACACCCAAAAATCACAACCAGAAAAAGTCCATATAATTGGAGTTTTAGATATTTTTTGATATTTAAATAGCAAAGATGAGTTGACAGTAGCAATGACAGAAAGCAGGCGCAAAATACTTATTTCATTTTGATTTGATGTTGCTATTATTTAATCAGTAAGCAGCAGTATAGATTTTTGTTTTCATTCTTTCAAGTAAGAATTTTACAAAAACCGAAGAAGAAAAGGAAAAATTATGAATTTCCCTCTCACCTCTCCCTTCGCCTCAAAAAAAAGTCTAAATCTAACTGACAAAATGGCTTTTAATTTTGACAGCTTTACTGGATGCTTGTCCAGAAGTACAAAGATGAAAAATTTAGTGAGTAATGGCAGAGGAAAGAAAAGCCGAAATTCAGATGAAATCAAAGTGACATTATCAAAATTGATCATCAGAGATCTGCTACGACATGATGTTTTGTTGACGGATTTTTTTTAATACGCTGCTGTGACTGCAGTGCTAAGTGATGAAGTGTGAAAATTTTTGACCTACTCATCAAACCAAATGACGGTCTGTTCTCATTTCACTTTATGTTTGTTTGGAAGATAAATGCGCAGCTGAATGGAGCTGTCACATCAATTCTGATCAAATTATTTTATATGAAACATTTGTTCACGTTCCTAAAAAGTGTTCAGAAAGTACCGAAAATAGTTCAAGGTGATTTAAACATCCTATTTCTGTAATTAATTTACAAAGCTACTTTTTCATCTTCACGAATAGTAACATATTATTTATGTAACTTGACTTGTGAAAAGAAAAAGGATTCGATTTCAAAAATAATTTTGGAAAGAAATAGAGGAAACAATTGCGCCTGTTAAACTGTTCGTTTCCCTGAAGGCATTGCTGAAAGTGTGAATTTGATGGCCGACTATTGTAAAATTAGAGACAGTGCATGTCATAGAAGATAAAAAGGAAAAGGTAAGCGGATGAATTGGTTCTCACAAATTTCTGAATGATGTTGTAATGCCTTAAAGGAAGAGCTTATCTGCTAAAAACTTTTTTGAAACCATATAATAGAAGTTAACAATGACGAGTCATGCAGACAGTATCCGTGAAAAGATCGCAGTGAGCAATTTCTCGGTAGTTCTTGACCCATAATTTATTTTATGGCTAGTTCTTGACCCATAACTTATTTTATGGCCCATTCTTGGCCGTTCTTTTTCTCCTATAATGATACGTGGAAAAGCTAAATGGTGACATCTAACTAATAACAACGAAGTTAGAACCGACATGGCATGACTTTGGGCTTCTAAACGTTACAGTTTGATTCGGTCGATATACATCTCTGTAAAATTCCAGGTAAAAAGATAATTATTGAGAAAAAATCTTGCAGGAAATTTCACAGTAAAAAAGCACAACCTGCTGATATTCGCTGGTTCCAGCAATGTCTCCATCTGGATGGTAGTGCCTTTTTGAACGCCGAAAACGCTGACTCAACGATCGGAATAGACCTGCCATTCTCGACGTAGGATGAAGTCAGAAGTGGAAGCAAATCTATTGCAAGTCGTATCCTACAAATATACATAAAGCAAAAAAAATAGGAACGAAAAAGGATAATATAAAGAGGATGGATTACTTGGCATTACGGAAAGAAAACAAATGCCTAAATGAAGTGGAAATACTTGAGAACCACCTGTTTTTTCTCTAAAAAGTTCTTCATTTCTACTCAATTCTTGAATGTTTGAATTTGCAAGAAAAATCAACTTTTATTCTAACTTGAAATCATCCGAAAATTTGAAGCTTCAAATTGATGTCCAATGAATTTCGAATCGTAATAGAGAAATGGTCAATCGAAATATGAGACAAATCTACTACTGGTAAATCTAAACTAGTTTCTCACGCAGATTGCCTTTGATGAAATTTCAAGTTTTATTCAGCCAGTCGTAATATTCTGTATCCGAAAAACATTAGTCGATAAGATCAGATTCTAAATTTGGGGGACAGTGAAATATTAGCAGGCGATTTGGCAGTTTTGGTACATATTAAAGCAAAGCTATAAATTAGCTAAAATTTTGAATCGATTAAATTGAAACTCACTTTTTAATTCAGCAATAATTGTAGCTAATACCAGCCTTTGAAATAACAAATAGCAAATGAATAGACACAGCCAGTGCAATAAGGTATGACAGTTAAGTTGACCACAATTTTTACTTGGGTCCGTGACCAATCAGATCTTACAATCTTCAATGCACAAATGCTACGAAAGCAGACGTGTAACCTTTAAAGATCCGGACGAACATTATAGCATTCAGCATCCACAATCGTAAATAAAAATATAACTGGAGTGTTCTAAATTTAAATATGCTACAAAAACGAAGAAGCGATAAATGATGAAATTCAAATTCACTGCATGGTTATAGGAAAGTGAATGAGTTGAATTCTATGAATGTAAAATAAATGAGTATACCAGGGTTAAGCTCATTTGAATTCAATATGCAAACAGTATCCAATCATCACTTACACATTTCAATTGTTGAAGTACCACCCTCAACTCAATCCTCTCACAAAATCATTATTCTTCTCCGTCTCTTTTCATTTGAACTTTTTTCTCACACTCTCATAGAAAATTATTTCCAATCAGAAATAGAACTGAACTTGAATTTACTTGAAAATAAAAGAATAATATTATACTTCGAAAGTAAATTTTGAAACATTTTGAAAACAAATTTGGCGTTTTATCCAAAAATAAAACCATTTTATAGTTGGTAAAATTGCAAGGCGCTCTCTGATGTTACGAAGGGATGGAATTGTTGATTTCATTTCATGACTAATTTTTGAATGCATAAATACAACGGTCTATTTCTTGTGAACAATTTCAATAAACTAATTTATTCGCGCTTACACAAAGTGTTCTCTCTACCAAGATTCCTCGAGAAGTTCATTGGAACAAATCATTAGAAAAAAAAGTGTAAGATTCGAAATTTAGAAATGTGGGATGAAAATTCAGACGGATAAAATTCGGCGCTCGCGAGTTTCTCCATCTACATTTTTGCTTGATAATCGGATATACGATCAGATTCATCAGGTCATGAAATTGAGAAAGCAAAAGAAGCAAGAATCAAAGAATACATCCTAATAAAATATATGTTCGTATTTTCCAAATTTCAAACAGCACAAATAATTTCATTAAGGGGAAATGAGTTCGGCTTATTTGGATAATATTGATATCCCAACAGTAGGAGGAGTTGCTAGAATAACACAATTAGACTGGAAACCTGGAAATAATTGTAAAAAATAGATCAAATCAGTCCTTGCTGTACATATAACACGACAATTGCGCACACAGCACAACATTTCTGGAAAGTAATTGAAGACCAAAAAGACCAATCGATCTACTTCCATGCACTGTGACTAATTCGAAGATCACAGGATGCGCACTTTAACGCTTAGCAGTATAACTTCACATTTTTGCAGCGGCCATAATAAAAGCATGAGATTTAAAGTGAAGCGACAGATTTGAATTCGTAACAGATTAACAAAATTGAAGTTCAAGTCCGAATTCTGGAATAGTATTTCTCAGAGAATGTCTAATTGGAAAGAAATTACCTTTGATACAAAAATGGAAGATGGAAGGAACACTGTGACATTACAAGAAATATGCAATATACAATTATCAATATGATGATCCATTAATTCGTCATTTCTACTGTCTGATAAGAAATCATGCAATCAAAACTGGAAGAACGAGAAAAGACTTCAATATTCAAAGGCAGCAATCATTTAATTAGTGGAGTTGAAATTCAAACTATGAAATATATAATCTTTAATTATTAAGTAGTAAAGAAAGACTCCCTCGATGCAATAAATCGAAACGAAAATTACAGTATAGAGAT